TATAAGTGAAGAAGGAACCCTCCAATTGCCTATTTAATACATAAGTAAGGTACTCTTGGCGGCAGAAACCCGTTATCCTGACGTAGAGAAGTTAGCTCTAACCTTGATCACTGCATCCAAAAAATTGAGTTCGTACTTCTAAACTCATATAATACTTATGTTAACCAACTTCCCTCTCAAACAAGTGCTTCAAAAACCTGACGCTTCGAAAAAGTTGCTGAAATAGTCAGTTGAGCGCAGCGAGTTTGAAATCGCCTTCAAAACGAGAACTTCTATCAAAGGCCAAGCCCTCATGGACTTCGCAGCGGAATTTTTCAACGTCCCGAAGATGGAGAAAATAATGGAACCCGCTGAACCTCCCAAGTGGAGCTTGTTTGTGGATGGTTCATTTGGGCAGATAGGCTCAGGAGCGGTGTGGTCCTAGTTAGCCCCAAGGGACATAAGTTGAACTGTGCAGTAAGGTTTAGGTTTAAGGTTTAGGGATGATCTCATACATGAGTTTGTCAAAAAGTACTTTAATGTTGAAGTTGACTAAATTAAGGCACAAGATCTCTCCACATTTCAAAAGGCTGATTTAGAGAGTTTTTATGAAGCATGGAAAAGGTTCTACGACATGATCAAAGCATTCTATCCATAAAATTAAGAAATTTTTACAAGTTGAATACTTCTACACTAGATTGAATCATCATGACCTACATCATTGGATGCAACTTAAAATGAATCTATTACATTGAAATAACCCAACGAAGTTGAGATATGATATGAGACCATGGAAACAACAATGCCTTATGGCCTTTTGAAAGAGCCATACAAAAAGCTATCGGGTATACATGAACTAGACGCCATCTCCAAATTATCAGCACAAGTATTTTCTTTGAAAAAGAAGGTGATAGATCATTTGTCCATTAAAAAATCAGTAAATGTGATGCAAACAAACTCTTGATTTGTGGAATTTNTTTAAGTTATCTCCTAACAAATCCAGAATTTGTAAGATTATAATGCCTTTGTGAACTTGTTCAAAGTTGGTTGTGACCAAAAAAATGAAGTATACCCGTTATTATACAAGTTTTTAACATTGACATTAATTTCTCAAAGTATGAGAACAGGAAATGAACACTTGTAAAAGGTATGATTTTGCTAAATTAAATATTAGTACTTTCTTTTATACGTTTCTTGATTTTTTTGTTAAATTTTCGTACATTAATTTATATTCCATTGTTTTCTTTCTCTATTATAAAGTACCAACTTTCTTCATTTTAACACATAATGTTTCAAAACAAATTGGGTCCCCACCCCTTCAACTCCGGGACCCCCCTAGTTCATCGGGCTGGCTCCGCCCCTGGAAGTAAACTACGCATAAAAATTTCAGCATCATCAGAATAACCCGTATACCAATGCATACGATCCAAGTTGGCGTAATCATTCAAAATTTTCTTGGGGAAATAATCAAAACAATAATTTCAACAAGAGAATAAACCTTCATTTGAGGAGATGTTGGGCGAATTCATGGTAAGACTGAAACAACTCTTCAAAGTCATTCAACATGCATCAAGAGTTTGGAAACTCAAATAGAGCAGCTAGCTTGAGTTATTTCTAAAAGAACTCAAGGTACTCTACCTAGAAATATTGAGATCAATCCGGAGGAGCAAGTGCTAACCATTAGAATTGTTTGAGATGAGAAGATTGACACCCCGCAACTAAAGGTAACTCCAAAACTACAGGAATATCTACCCCCAATTTCATTCCCCCAAAGACTTCGAAAGTGTATAGAGGAAAAAAGAATTTAAGTAATTACTACATGGAGTGGGGTACAGTTGTCGAAAATTACAGGTAAGAGATCGATTGCAAGAGTGCATATTACCGACGAGGAGCATGTTGAAGGATATGAAAAGGTAAAATATAATAAATTGAAGGAAAATTCTATATTTCATAGGCTAAGGTAGTCGCTTTTGCCAATGAATATGTGTCTCCCATCCCATTCTCACTAAGGTTAAAGAAACAAAAGTTAGACCAACAATTTGAGAAGTTTCTAGATGTGCTAAAGAATCAATATCTTGTTCATTGACGTGATAAGACATATTACAAGCTATTCAAGATTCTTGAGGACATGACATAAAAAAAGAAAAAGCTTTCCAAATTTGAAACTAGGCACTGAAAGAGGAGAGCGGTGTAAGACTGCAAAATAAATAGCATCCCAAACTAAAAGATACAGGGAGCTTTACTTTACCTATTTTTATTGGAAAAAATTGTTCCCTAATACTTTATGTGATACAGGTACTAATATTAAGTTAACGCTAGCTGATAGAAGCATAAACATACAAAAGTCAAGGTAGATAATGTACTCATCAAATCAAGAAAATTGATATTCACAATGGAATCTATTGTTCTTAACATATAAAAAGACTGCCATATCCAAATAATCATAGGTCGACGTTCTTAAAAACTTGTCGAACCTTAATTGGTATGTAAGAAATGTGAGTTAGTCTTGAGTGTGGAGGATGAACAATAAGTTTTCAAATTACACACCACATCCAATAAATCAACATTTGTTGAAATTTTTGGTAGAGATGAGAATGACGAATTCAAAGTTTAGAGAGCAAAGAAAGGATGAAAGGTTTGAAATTACAAGGAGCACAGGGCGACACATTTGAACTTTAACCTTGGCCAAAGTCTAGCTTGGGACTACAAACCCAAGAAATTAATGGGAAGTGACACATTCTTCTAACCTTCAACTATTTAATTTTTTGTCATATATTACATATAAAAAATAGAATTGCATAGTACACTTAGGCATCTTTCTCATGCTTCTCATACATTACATATACATTGAGATTGATCGCAATCAACCAAGATTTACAAAACTGTGATCAATCAACAGCCCTATTTTATGTGGCTTGACCGTGGTCGAACATAAAATAAAAAATAAATAAATAAATAATTTTAAAATCCAAAATACTTTAAAGCAGAAAAAAAATTGACAAAAAATACATTTTCTACTTTTATTTTAATAAAATTTTAACTTTAAATCTTCAAAATTCTTCATTTCCTTCACATTTTAGACATTCAAATTCACACAATCACATACTTATTTCATTGAATTAAGGTAAATGTAATGGGTAGTTGATGTGTTTGAATTACTATTTGGAATCTTGATTATAATTACTTATCATTTGTTGCAATGTAGTTTATAATCCTCATTGTAGGAAAAATTTGCACAAAGAGCAAGAGATCCCTTTTCAGGGAGGCAAAAAGAAAATGAAAAATATTCTACAAGCTTCAACATTAATTTCATTGCCCAACACTTATTCGGAAAGTCTAAAATTTTAGTCTTTATTTAATTTCCGTGTTTTGGGTTTATAATGTTACATTGAGTTAGAAACAAACTTGAATAAAAAAATATATATATATTTATAGCTTTATTTTGCATGATTGTTTGTGAACTTAATGCTATTATGAAATGCATATTCAATAATAATATTGTGCCTATCCCGGATCAAAAATTGAATCAATTCGTGTGAACTATTGAATTTTCATTTATTATTTAAATTTCATTATTTTATACTCGACTTTTGAACAAATTGGGCACGAATTCATTCTTGATTGCACTTATGAATAACTTTGAATTAGTTGTGTAAGTTAACTACCTTAAAATCTTTTAAGACTGGTAGGTAATTACTATACTAATCACCCGGTTAGAACTATATGAAAACACAATTAGAAATAACTTATGGGAGATTAGATTCATCCAAAATCAATACTATCATTATTTGATTGTTATTCGATCTTTCTCACTGATCCAATAAAAGACATTACACTAGTGAGAAAGAATGAGGTAAAAGTGCAGGAAGAAGTGACCTACATTGATAACTATACAAAATCAAACATCAATGTAGAGTGGTACTATATATATATCCTAGAGTAAAGAGCAGAAATAGTAGGAATGAATCGGTCTGGTGTTGATATCATCAATACATAAGCGAAATAGCTACCTAAATGTGAGAAGAGTGTGTGTGTGTAGTTCTCATTTGAGAAAAAAATTGACAAATCGAGAGAGTAATATGCCTCAAGAAGGAATCCTAGAATTCCACCCATTTTTTGGGTTTGAAAAATTTTGGATTTTAAAACACAAGAATCTTAAGATGTGTTGGGAATATTATGATGAGATATCGTATTGACAAACTCGAAATTTGGTATTGTTTTTAAAAATAAAATTTGAAAGTTGAATACATGACATGATTCAAGTAGCATTGGTGGAGTTAATAATATTTAACACACATACTCAAGTCGAGGTGACATGCATAGACCGGCCCTCTTAATAAGAGAATGTCTCCCACTTCACCTATTCTAAAGATCTTTCGTATAAGATTTTTTAATGATTGATTGATATAACATATTTACAGCAAACACCTTGTAATCAACTTGTAAGTCTACTTTTCAGAGGTCGGACATAGGATATAGGTGGCTACTTTTCAAAAACATTAAATACCTCTAAGCCTAAGATTGATAGAGTGACATACGGGAAAAGACGCCTCGACTATTAGGATGATGTCACCTGTCTTTTCATTCAATAGTAACATTTCAATAATAATATTACTCTATCCCATTTTACTCTCTTAAGACCCTAAGTGCCCAAACACTATTGTGGCTCACATCTTTCGCATGTTCCATAGTCAAATATATTTATGTAAGTCGACTAACTTGATTGTTGAAGTGATCACGGCCACCTCCTTCATCCTCGGAAAAGATCACGTGCTTCTAACAATTTGTTCAAATGTGCATGAGATATACCGCGTGTACGTGAATGGAGTCGGGATTTATCGACCACACCTGTTCAAAAATCGATGTCCAGATGTACAATCTGCATATCAACAGCTACAAAGTACAAGTGAAAGTTCAAAGACCCAGCTGCTAGAATTTAAGATTTGAAGACCGACGATATATTTTCAAACACATGGGGACCCTCAATTTAATTTTTTTTCCCCAATAAATCAACTGTAGTTATGTTTTCGGCGTCGGGGCCATTTCCACCTCCAGCGTTCCACTGCAGAGTTTGTCCTTCAGGCACCTCTCCCTCTCTCTATATATTTGTATGTATGTATATCTGAACTGTATGAGCTGAAATGTAGTTGTGAATTGTTGAGAATTATTCTTTCCGAGATACTTTTCAATTAATGTAGCCCCTTACATTTCATTTGATTTTGTGTTGATTTGCTCATTGTTTGACTAAATTGATTTCTTGACTATAGAATTTTGATTGATTTTAGTTGCAAATAATTAAAGAGGAAGTATATTAATTTTTAATTTGCGCAGGCCCTTTTTTCTCTAAGCCTTCCAGAAACAATGTTGGCCGCTAAAACCCTTCCGCTGATTTCGCCTCTGTCGACACCTCCAAAAATATCTGATGATTTTTCACTATTATTCAACAGTTCCGTTCCTGTCACGAAACGTAATGGAAAAAGCAAAATCACATGCCTAAGTTCATCTTCGCAGTCGGTAATTGCGCCGGAAATAGGTACCCAATCCACCCCGGCTCAAACTCGGGTCAAGATTTTATCTGAAGCACTACCCTTTATTCAAAAATTCCGTGGCAAGACTATAGTAGTTAAATATGGAGGAGCTGCAATGAAGTCCGAGGCACTCCAGGCTTCTGTAATTGCCGATATTGTCCTCCTCTCCTGTGTCGGCATTCGCATTGTTTTTGTGCATGGTGGTGGGCCAGAGATCAACCAGTGGCTAGGAAAACTCAGCATCAAGCCCAATTTCCTCAATGGCCTTAGAGTCACCGATGCCTCCACTATGGAAATTGTGTCAATGGTGTTGGTTGGTAAAGTGAATAAACATCTCGTTGCTTTGATCAACAAAGCTGGTGCAACTGCAGTTGGCTTATCTGGAATTGATGGTCGGATTTTGACAGCCCGGCCATCTCCCAAAGCTGCGCAACTTGGGTTTGTGGGGGACATTGCCAGTATTGATCCCTCTATAATCCTGCCACTTGTGGATAATAACCATATCCCAGTGATTGCCTCTGTAGCAGCTGATGCAACGGGACAGCCGTATAATATTAATGCCGACACAGCAGCTGGCGAGCTTGCAGCAGCTTTGGGTGCGGAGAAGTTGATTCTATTGACAGACGTCGCGGGAATACTTGAGGATCGTGATGATCCAGGGAGCTTGGTGAAGGAGATTGATATCAAAGGGGTGAAGAAGATGGTGGAGGATGGGACGATTGCAGGTGGGATGATCCCCAAGGTGAACTGCTGTGTGAGGTCTCTGGCTCAAGGTGTTAGGACAGCTAGTATTATTGATGGGCGGCTGGAGCATTCACTACTTCTTGAGATTCTCACTGATGAAGGGGCTGGAACGATGATCACTGGTTAGACTACTTTCCATAAGTTGTATGCAGTTGGATTCTCAAAAAATAAACTCTTTTGGCTATATACTTGTGCTTGTAAGTTGACAGTAAATCAACCTTTCTATAAAATAGTCCTGCATTCTTGTACTTGGGCTTGAACATGTAATCTTTGAGTAAGATATTCTTGATAAACTGTTAACCTCTGAATTGCTTTAATGATGAGTATTTTTAATTGAGTTTTGAGAAGGAATTGATCATAAATGCTTTTCCCTAGTCCTATATTGTGTATGGTACACATTTATTCTTTGTTATGTCTTAAAATGTACAATGTAGTTGTAGAACATAAGCCATCCTATTTTCTTCTTGTTGAAAATTAGCAGAAAGTTTGGCTTTGACTATCTGGCTTGTTATCTATATAATTGATACAATGCCCCCAGCGCACATCTCCAAGGGAAAAGTGGAAAAATTCCAACTTTGCTTGAGGCTGTCGCGTCAAGGGTTCGAATCCTGAAATATGGATTTGGCCCTCCGGTAAGTGCAAGTGTACAAGCAGCCTTCCACCCTGTACCCTTGGAGGTATAACCTGCAATTTACCTCCTTCACCAAGGCTCAGGGCAGGACAGGTGGGGGTCGCTAAAGATGCGGTTCATCTTTTTTTATATAATTGATACAATGATGTGAAACTTACAAATATTTAAGAACTTGAGGATCAACAGAATAGATATGTGAATTTTCCAAGGAAAACTGTAGATAACTAGAGATTTTTTGGAACAGGATCTCTTTCTATTTAATAATCGTTGCTTGAAATCTCTTCTAAAAGCTGAAAATTCTGCTTGATATATAGTGATTTGCGTGTATGGCCAGTCCCTTCATCTACCTCGTCATTTAACGGAAAGAGTTCACTACCAGTCTCATTGAGTCATTATACATTTACATAAGAAATGAAAACTACATAACTTAGCCCTTGTTTGTGTAACGAACTAGATCTCTACACCCAAACCATTACCTTACGTAATGTCCGCTTTGGGTAGGTCTGTGCCCACTTACCTCCTCACGACTTTTTATCGCTTCCCCCAAAAATGTTCACTCTAAGCGGACAGTACGTATGATATAACGGTTCAGATATAGTGACCAAGTTGTTACAGTTTGGTTCTTGTTTATAGTCGCTCAAATTACTTTGTCTTCAATATATTTAGTGGGATCCACAATTACTACCCCACTTTACAACCACACATTTCTACTATTCAATGATTTAAATAGATTATAAACATCTCTCGAACATGCTTTAGATTGGAAGCATAAGATAGTTACTCCCTCCCCCACCCACCAAAAAATAAAATAAAAAAGTTCAAACTTGTGTGTCTGTTACGTGTATGAAAATTAATACTTGAAAATGGGGTAACTAATGCTTTAAATTCAGATTCTCGAGTTACAATCTCTCAAATCATTGAAGTCCAATAATGATGATTGGAGTTCACTCCATTCTAAGCTTCTTTTTAAGCCTCACTTTATATTTCACAAGACTCATTTTTAAACAATGAACCAAATTTTTTTTTTATTTTTTAGCCACACATCTTTAAAAAATTATTATTTCAAAACACTTTTTTTTTAATAAAAAAATGGGTCTCAAATAAGGGCTAAATGTTGGGTTGTGTATCCATATAGTATATTTTGTTATGATAAAATAATAATTTATAATAAATAAATTGTAATTTTATTTCTATTGCATTTTATTTATTATTGATTATTTCAATTAAAATGTGTATGATGAATTATGATAATATAAGTTAGCTACTTGCGTTGAGAAGTACAGTATGACCGACTTATATTTTGATCATATGTAATTTATTAACAACCAATGTATAAGTTAGCACCTTCTGCTGCAAGGTTTTAATGTTGACAAATTCACTAATCGTGTTTGTGATTTGTCATTATCATAGAAATAGTTGAAGATATATTGGAGTTCATTGAACGAACCACGTTTCGATTTTAATTCTATAGCATGACCATACGAATAATTAAATTTCACTAGATCGCATTGTATTTCATCTAAGTCCCTTGACATGATTATGCATATCTTTACGTGATTTTAATAGTTGTTTGATTCACCAATGTGTGTGATCAATTTAATTGATCAAATATTTCAATGAGATGGGAACTTAAGAATGAGTGAAGTAAAGAACATGAATTCGTGTCGAAATCGTCACCCTGAAAAATGGGTAAAGTGACTAAAGTATTTTATTGAACAGTTAAAATATGAGCTCAGTGTTTAGCAATGACTAAATTTCGGCATTTGTGATTAGTTTAAAGGATCATTGAAGAAAGTTATATTTAAATTAGTGAGAATAATTAGAGGGGTAAAATGGTCATTTATGCTCGTACCTCATTATTGAATCTCAGATGAGGACAAAATACATATACTACGGATCAGAGAAAATTATTACAGATTTATTGGCTTCTGTAATCTTATATATTCCAAGAGTTCAGTCTTTTGCCTTCAGTTGAAAAAGCAAAAACTAATAATTAGATTAGGTGGTCTAGGAACGACTAAACATGATCTAATTATTAGAGTTTGGATAATATATGTCTGATCAGATCCCTATAGTAGTTCTATATCACTTGGCCCAATTTTTCGTTATTCTAAAACAAAGATAACTAATAGGAAAAAAATTATGTGGATTGGAAATGTAATTTGATGTTTATGCTCAATATGGAAAAACTTAATTTTGTACTTAAAGGATGTGCTGATGGACCTACTACGACCATATGACAAATCAAAAAGGTTGGATATGTTGAGTGGGAGATTGCAAACAAGATGGCTTGCTATTATATTTTGACCTTGATGTCAAACACATTACAACAAATGTCTTGAAAGTTAGAGTACCTCCCATGACATACTACAAACCCTTTAGGACATGTTTGGTCATTGAACTAGGAAGGCTTTTTTGAAGCCTTTCTTACCTTATAGAACAACTGCAAGTAATCCAGAGTGTCTATGATGTTTTCATAGTTTGACTATGATTGTACACTTCAAACAAGCTAAGAGTTTGGGTGTAACCATCTATTAAGAAAACTCAAGTTGACATGGTATTGAATTCTTTATTTGATATGCTTTCACAATTCCCAGTGGACTATCACTTACACAAGATGAAGATACCATAAACTAAGTTGACAATAGAGTTGTAATGTGGAAAGTGGTCTTAAGTGTACCATGGCGATGCTCGTGTATTGTTTAATAGCTTCTCTAATTTCAAGCCAAATGTTAGATTTGGAAATAAGGGAAAGAAAAATAACAAGCATGAGAGCAAAAAAGACAAAAGTAGATGGATAGCCTTGAGGCAAGTGTTCCAATTGTGGTTAAGGACACTAGAGAAAGACAATCTAGATGCACTAGCTAGAAAGCACAGTGCGGATAAGATTTTCGTTACTGAGTATTGCTTAGTAGTTGATACTACAAATTCCTGATTTGTAGATTTTGGAACCAATAATTATATCTACATGGATGCGGGTGCTTTACACTAGCAGAAAACTCAGTAAATGCCAGCTTAAAATCATTGTTGGCACAAGACCAATAGTTCAAACAAGAGTACAAGAGTATTTTTTTTTATTATTTAAGTAGTGGTAGGCGTTCGATCCTTAAATATTGTTATCATGTCTCACTAATGAAGTAGAAATTTGATTTATGTTTCGATTCAATAGGACAAGATTATTCTATAAAATCAACGTTTGATATACTTAGCATTTTAATGAATAAAGTTTCTATTTGCACTAGACATTTAATTAATGGTCTTTATATTTTAAATTATTCCACATATGAAATAAAATGGTTACTCCTATAAACCATAAAAGTCACACCATACTAGTGATACATATATGTGGCGTCTTAAGCAAATCAACATTAACAGAATACAAAAAAATTGACTAGAGATGGTCCTCTCAACCGGGTTAATATCAAACCATTGTCAGTTTGTGATTTTTGTTTGGAAAGCAATATGACCAAGATATCTTTTTTTAACAAAAAGAGATAGAGTCAAATATGTATTGGAACTAATTCATTTTGATATGTGTGGACCTATGAATACACTTAAGAGATGGAACTATAAGTATTTCTTTACAGATGATTACTCTAGATTTAAATACATTTACCTAGTGGCTTGAAAGTCAAACATTTTTGAGATATCAAAAGAGTATTAGCCTAAGGTCGAGAAACATATGGGTAAGTGTATTAAGATACTTCGATTTGATTGATGTAGCGAGTACTTCTCGGGAGAATTCAGGGACAACTTATAGAAAATGGTATTGTTTCTTAATTGAACACACCTGGTACACTCCAACAGAATGGTGTTTCAGAAAGAAGAAACATGACATTGTTAGATAATGTTAGGTCAATGAAGAGTTTCACCATTCTACCTATCTCATTTTAGGATATACATTGAAAATAGTTAGATATATTCTTAACTTAGTTCTTTTTAAGTCTATTCTTAAGACTATCCTGAAATTTTGGAATGGGTTCAAGTCATGCTTGCATCACATCTAAAATTTGGAAGTTTGTGCTGAAAGGGAATGCAGAAAATTTGGAATCTAGGTCAAAGATATACCTGATTGTGGGATAACTTAAAGATACAAATGAATAATGTTTTATATTGCTCTAGATATGAAGGTATTTGTAAGCACAAATGCAACATTCCTATAGGCTAAGTATATTAATGATCGTCAGTCCAAGAATAAGGTCGTGTTGGAAGAAATGAGTGGAAGCAATTCCAGTCCATCAATTCCTGAAACATAACCTGGGGCAAATATCTCGTGGTGTCAAATATACCTAAACAACGTGATCTGAATGAGAGAAATGAGTTGTCATCTAATCCAATAGATCAATAGAACGCTGAAGGTAATGATGAGGTAATTATGTCACCTGATGGTAATTCCAGCATTGATGACAATATTACGTTCCAAATGACACCAGAGTCCAAGATCAATTGCCCCTTAGAAGTCAGATGATTATTAGTTCACCTTCAAGGTACTTGTT